GATCCCAGATTGCTTGGCAGAGGGTATAATGTGAACTCTGCTGTTGTGGGACTGTGACAGTCCTGGCTTAATCAAGACATACAGTTAAGGAAATCCCTTTGCTGTTTCCAGGGTGGTCCTCTGGGCCAGATCTAAGCACCCCATGAGCTGAATCCAGCCCATGGGTCTTGAGATTGACACCAGAGGTGGTATTCAGTAGATTCTGACCAGTTCTGGAGAACCAGTAGCAGAAATTTTGAGTAGTTTAGAATACCACCTCTGACTAGCCCCCAGCCCCATCTATTCTCTGCCTCCTTCCCCTGGAGTGGGGTGGGAATGGAGATTTTACAGTATCCTTCCCATGCCACGCCCACCAAGCCATGCCCACGGAACCGGCACTAAAAAAAATTGAATCCCACCACTGATTGACACCCCTGAGTTAGGGAAAGAGTGATCATGCCATGACCAAAAATGGACATAATACAGGACCATTTCTTGGCATTTTGAATGCTTCCTCTTAGGAGCTGAATTTATTCTTATTTATCCTGCCAGGTCTTATCATCCATGAATCTCCTGAGTAAAAACACATAATGTGACAGGACACACCAAACCTTTCAGCTGCGAGAACAAAAGATTCTCAGAGTTATGCAAAGTGACGAGGCGTTTTAATTTGGCGGTTCAACCAGCATTTTCAGCGTGTGGAATCCTTAATGTGTGAATGCTTTGGCTCTCATTATTCCAAAACGTGTTTCTTCTTTTGCTCCCTTTGTTGATCTCAGGGACTATTTTCTTTTAGCTTCATTGGCAACAGAGTATAAGGCAAAAATTAATTTCTTCCTAAAAGGGGTAGACCTGTTTCTGTAATCTCATCCCTCGAAGGCAAATGATACTGTTTGGCTTAGAGAGCTATGTAAAGGCCTGTGAAGGGCGCAGTTATGGTGGAATACACCTTTTTTTGGGTTGGTCATGCCACTGCAGTGACTTAAATAGTCTCAAGCCAAGTTGGATTTGTAGTTCTTTGGAAGAACAGATAGTGACACTAAAGCTCAAATACTTTGGCCACCAGATGAGAAGAGAGGGGTCATTGGAAAAGATCCAGAAGTTGAGAAAGATGGAAGACAAACGGAAGGGACATCAGAGGGTGAGATGCTTAGATAGTGTCATTGATGAAATGATTATGAATTTGGGCAGGAGACAGTGGTGGATGGAGGACCTGGTGTGCTCTGGCTCATGGGATTGTGAAGTGTCAGAAACAACTCAGCAACTTGAACAATAAGTGTAGGATTAGAGGAATACCAAGAGAAGAAGGCTTGGAATGGTAGCCAGTTGCTATTGGGCTTCATTGCAGTTGTCCTTTAAATATATATATTCTAGGTCAGGCGTGTCAAACTCAATTTCATTGAGGGCTACATCAGAGTTGAATTTGACCTCAGAGGGGCGAGTGAGTATGACCAGGGTGGGCATGGCCAGTTCAACATCCCACAGCCCACGCATGGCCCTTCTGAGCTCCGTTTCAGCTGAGATGGCCTCCTGTAGCCCTCTGCCAGTGAAAACGGAGCCCAGGAGGGCCATGCGTAGGCTACTGGATAGCAAGTTGACCATGCCCATCCAAGCTCCGTTTTCGCTGGCAGAGGCACCATGGACCAGTCCTTCACTGTTTCCAGGGTGGCCCTATGGGCCAGATCTAAGCAACCCATGGACCGGATCTGGCCCACGAGCCTTGAGTTTGACACCTCTGTTCTAGATTCAAATTTCCTGTGAGATGTTCAGTGGATTCTTGAGCAACATTGCCTTGACTTCTACCTGTCTAATCCTGCTTGAAAACCATCAAAACAGTTGTCTTAAATAGATACAAGCCCATTTTCCTTCCACAAGTTATGCTGGAAGAGGCAGCTGACCTCCGTTTGTCTAGGGAATGGTCCCAATGCGATCTATCACACTCACTTCTCCTGGAGTGAGAAGCTGAATACACAAACTGAGGCTTATTGCTTGTATAGATAAAGGATGGATGAAATCAAAGAGAGATCCTTTCCATTTCCATTTTGACATGCGCATAGGCCCAATGTTCTCAAGATGCAGATTCAAATGGGCAAGCGTTCATTTTCACAAAGCTGCCTTTGAGTATTTGATGCGGGTGTGAAATTTTTGCTCAGAGCTGCAAGTTGCTCGGTATGAAATGAATCATTCTATTATTTAAGTGCCACATCTCGACAGAAAGAGCTTTTGGGTTGACAGGTGAACAAGTATATCTTCAGTGACCCAGTTAAAACATCTTCTGAAGGTTGAACCTGAGATGTTTCGTTGCTGAATGACAGGTTTTTTTTTTTGACAGATCTTGATGGCAATGAGTTAAATACATACCTGACCTCATCTATTTTATTCTCCAGAGTTGATGGTACTTTGGGATGTGTAGGTATTAAAGATTAACACAATCAATTAGCATGTAATCTAATCATCTCTTATGTCACTGGAGAGTTGACTCAATTCCGTCTAACCACTTTTTGCAACTTGTGTACGGTAAAGAAGGTGTTACACCTGTTCTGCGCTGAGATTTGCATGGTATTTTGAAGCATGGAGTTCATAGGATCCAACACTATACATTTAAACAGACTCAGCTGCATTAACACAACGATTTTATGATTATTTTAATGAGTTGGCTTTTTAAAGCAACTACGTCTTTTTTCCCCAAGCTTGTTTAGAAACCTGGGAAAAGACACAGCTGCTTTAAAGAGATGTTTTGCTCGCTCTTTTATGCATTCCAAATGCCTTTTAAAAATCATTTTCAAAGGATGGCCAGCCTTGATATATATGTGGTTATCTGAATCAGGAGTTTCCTTTTTGGGATATTCCAGATATTCCTTGGTCCAAGGAAGAACCTTCAATTTAATGGTGGAACATAGTTGTTAAAGTATATTTGCAAGCAAAAAGGACTTGATTCCAAGTGACAATAAAAATCCTGAAAACTCATTCCTGATCAGATGATGATGTTGAGGATGGGTCATTATCAGCCACCTCTTTCTTAATATTTTATTTATATTATTATTAGCAAGTGAAACCCTCCCCCAAGAAGGGTGCACTAAAATTTCAAATCACAAAATGCAATTAAAAACGGGGACAAGATCAAAACAGGCTATTTTTAAACTCTTGTTTTCCCCAGTTCAGGTAGGAATGAGGTACTACTTTTTACATTAGTTTAGCACTGTTTCATTATAGATTTTTTTTCTCAACAATTCAGATCTGTTGTGCTATCATTTTCTCATTTCTGCTTCCTCCATCTGAAAGCAGGCAGAGAGGAGATATTGGAAAAATTATATTGCTGTGAAACCTGTCAATCACTTGGATGGAACTGTGCAGGCTTTAATATCTTCTAAAGGGTAGACCATTCCTGTTATTTTCATCCCGTTCAACTAGAAAGTGAAGTAGTTGTAGTTACCTGGATTATATGGTCTAGGGTCAAATCTTTTCTTAAATCTCAAATTTAGATGTTGCCACTTTCAGATTTTGAATTCAGATTGAATCTTGATTGATTCATTCACTCTTACTATCTAATCCAGGGATCTTCAATCTTGGCAACCTTAAGACTTGTGGACTTCAACTCCCAGAATTCCCCAGCCAGCCAATTCTGGGAGTTGAAGTCCACAACTCTTAAGGTTGCCAAGTTTGGAGATCCCTGATCTAATCCTTTAAATCAGAGTTTCTCAACCTTGGTGACTTTAAGAGGTGTAGACTTCAACTCCCAGAACATGCTAGTTGGGGAATTTTAGGAGTTGAAGTCCACACCTCTTAGAGTTGCCAAAGTTGAAAAACATTGCCTTAAATAATTCCAGTATTATCTTTTTCCCATAAAACTTTTAGTGTAACCCGATGGAGTATTTTCAATAGGAAGAGAAAGAGAAGGTGTATGTGATATTATGGGAAATAAAAATTGAGATAATTTCCCCTTATTTCAATACAGAAGACCTTCTCATCCACACAGGTCAAAAAGAACAGAGACACATTATAACGTAACTGCAAAAGAGCAGTTAAATGTAGATTACCTTTAAAACACTCCATTTTCAAATGCATTGAATATATTTTTTATTCCTGACCATTGCATTCTCAAGTACTGTAGCTTTATATTGTTGTTACTGAATTTCTATATTTACAGAAGAAAGAAAGAAATAGATTGCTTGATGGGGTTTTCAAAGAGAGGTTTAGTCACAGTTTTCTTTCTCAATAATCTTTCAAAAGCAAGGATGTGCTATTTATCAGCCATAGAATTTCAGCTTTACTCTGGAATGTCATCTTATCCATCGTTTGAGTGCTTTGAATAATCAATAGCAACTAGACTAATGCTTAAAATTAAGGAAAAGGAAGAAACTGAATACTTTCTAACATGGGACTCAATTTATCAATAGTTAACCAATAAAAACAGAAGCTAGAAACATGGAAATATAAGAGAAGGACTAATGCTACAAGGAAGGATTGCTAAAATGGATAAGCTATTATTATTATTATTATTATTATTATTATTATTATTATTATTATTATTATTATTATTATTATTATTATTATT